GGTAGAGGCTTGATTGTATTTAATAATTTTGTTTTTTGAATTTATTTATTTAATCATATAATAATAAAATAATTCATAAAAGATAACAATTAAAATTTATTTTTTTCAGAAACATTCTTTTTTATACATGTTACTATTATTGTTGGTTGAATAAAATGCATCATAACTAAAATGATTTTCGAATTGAAAATGAAAAAAATTAACAATTAAAATTTATTTTTTTCAGAAACATTCTTTTTTATACATGTTACTATTATTGTTGGTTGAATAAAATGCATCATAACTAAAATGATTTTCGAATTGAAAATGAAAAAAATCAATATCATATGTTTTTTATTAATGCGATTTTGTTTTGGTTTTGATGATTTTTTTTAATGAGAAATATTGTTTTTTAAGTAAATATTTATTATGAATGTAAAACAAAAATTTACTTGAATTAGAATTTATTTGTTTTATGAAAAGTAGTTATTTAAAAATTATTTATTATTAAAAAAGTTGGTTAATAAAAACACTTTCTAGTTAAACAAAAATTTAACTTAGTTTTTCATAAATGTTTTTTTCTTGAAAAACACTTTTTAAAAATTATAAAAAAATAAAAAAAATATATTATTTTTTTATTATATCAATTTGATCTTTGTTCTTTTGATTGTTATATATTTTATTTTGAATAGTTTTTTTTAGTTTTTTTAAATTAAATTTAATTTGATTTTTATATCAATTTTGATTTTGATTTTTTTGATTGTTTCTTGCTTTTCTCTTATTATTTTTTAATTGAAATTTTTTATACATCATATTTGGTTTCTAATTTCTTAATTACTATTTATTTTATTTAAAATAATTTATGAAATTGAATTTTTTTAATCTCATCATTTTTTAACTTTTTTATTTGTTAGATTTGATATTTATTCTTTTGATTGTTATTTATTTTTTTCGAAATAATTTATGAAATTGAATTTTTTCTTTAATTTTATCATCTTTTAATTTTTATTTTTTTATATTTGGTCCCTTTTTTATTAAACTTGAATAAAAATTAAAATATTAATAAATTATTTTCAGCTTATTTTTTATAACATAACTAGATATTGAAAACTATTTTTAAACTTATTTTTATGACATTACCAACATATCAAAAAATAATTTATTTTTTAAAAATTCACTTTTTATAAAAAACTATTTTCTAAATAAAAATTACTTTCACTAAAGAAACTTACAAATATAAAAAGTTGCCTTGAAAATAACGTGGAAAAATGAAAACAAATGTATGGTTGTACAAAGCTGTAGCAAAATTTGGGTCGCGGCCGTGTTGGATTGTTACTGATGGACTGGGATTTTATTTTTTAAGATTTAAATTAATGGGCTCTGAATTGGGCCGAATGAGGCCTTTCATACACGATGTCGTAAGAGAGAATCAGGATTGTTCATTATTGATCTGAAGAGTATTAACGGCTAGATTGTGGAAGATCTCTTGAGGACTCACAACACTACGATGCACATTAACATAGGCAACTAGACAAGAAGGTTCTCGAGTTTTGAAGGGGCCTACTCTAGCTGTTTTGCTTTCCCTTGATGCTTTCTTTAGTTTTCTTTCTAGTAGAAAGTAAAACCTCTGGAAAGAGAAGCCATACAGACATCGATCCAGGTAATTTTCTTTCTCTGCATTTTACCCTCTTGATTTTTCAAATATTCGTTCATTTTTTGTTGTTATAGTCTAATTTGATTAGAAATTGTGAGAGATAAAGGAAAAGTTCGAAATTTTTTTCCTTTTTTTTAATTATTTAATTGGGTATTTAAAACTGTTGTTTGTCTTTTGTCTTTTGATTTATTGTTTTTTAGGGGTTCTAAAATGGGTTCTTCTCTTTGATTGTTGCAGGCTGTGATATTTGTTGAAAATGAGGGGAAGAAGCTACGATTACAGTCCCTCACCCCCAAGGGGTTATGGGAGGAGACATAGGAATCCTAGCCCTAGGGGTCGGTATGGAGGTCGTGGTAGGGATCTTCCTACTAGTCTCTTGGTTCGCAATCTCCGTCATGACTGCAGGTTTGGCTTTTCTCTTTTCTTCCCTGCCATTTGAATGTCTGCTCTTGATGCTCATGGATACATCTGTTGCTTCATTTGAATTTTCGCCGCATATATGCTTCTACTCTTCTTCTTCTTTTTCTTGTCTGTAAATGTCTTCAATTATATGCATGTTATTATGTCCTTGATCTCACTTTGGATAAGATGCAAATAAAAGTTATACTGCCTTCAAATCTGTAGTAGCTGAAGCCACGTTTTTAATCCTCAGCTATATTGTGTTGTTCCAAAAAAATGAAGACACAGTGGAGCTACATCAACAATATATGGTTATTATACGCTCTTCAAAATTTACGCCAACAAAATGTGTGAACTGATTCCTTTTCTTTCTTCCTGTTTTGCAGGCCTGAAGATCTTCGTGGACTTTTTGGACGGTTTGGTCCGCTAAAGGACATTTACCTGCCCCGAGACTATTATACGGGGTAAGATGAAGTCCTTTTCTCTCAGGGCTGTAACAGCTTCAAGCAAGAAACATATAGTGATTCCAAATAAGCACATGTTTAATTTTTTCAATCTGTGTGTTCATTTTGGTTAGCATGTCTGATCCTCATGAATCTCAAAACTATATAGTGTGGGATTTTTTCTTGTTATGTGCCATTGGTTTATGGGAATTTGGTTGTTTTTATTGAAAGCGTTGAAGAAACAAATGAAGTAATTAGAGTGAAGACAAGAATGAAGTAGTAAGAGTGAAGACTAGAATGAAGTAATAAGAGTGTATTGAAGACACCATTCAGGTAATAAGAGTACTGTTCACCTTGATGTACATCAAGGTTGAGGGGAAGGTGGGTTTGAATACATTCTGAAGAAGTTCCAATTGTTGAAGAATATCAACTCAATTTAAAATTTGGCTTCTACAAGGTTAGCAGCCACACAATCATTTTATTTCAATGGCACAAGTGTCAGCAAGTGCTTATCATGATCTTCCATGTAACTCTTGGAATCTGGATCCTGTCATTTGACAGTCAGGACACATGTTAGTGTTCATTTGTCTATGCTCACTTTGTTGTGTCATTGTTATGCATTTGTTGCAGGGAGCCACGTGGCTTTGGATTTGTCCAATATTTAGAATCAGCTGATGCTGCAGATGCTAAGCACCATATGGATGGTGAAATTCTTCTTGGCCGGGAATTGACAGTTGTTTTTGCTGAGGAAAATAGGAAGAAGCCGGCAGAAATGAGGCAAAGAGATCGTGTGAGGTAACTCTGGTTATTTATATTAATCTGAATTCATTGAATACTGATGCATTGTATTGAAAATTGGACCTAAACTTTTGGTCATGTGTTCTGTTACAAGAGATGATGTTTATAGATTTTTTTTAATGTCACTGGATTTTTTATACCTTGTATGGTTGCTGTTGTTTGAACACTAAACACTGTTTTTAGGTTGCCAGCATTTGTGGGTACATAAAGTGCTTATTTTAATCCTTTTTAAAACTGAAAAAAAGAGAGAAAAAGTACAAGGGTTCTGATTGTTTGTGGTGCTGTAAATTTCGATGACTGCAAAGCTAGGATTTGAGCTGTTTATTTGAATAAAATTGATGCTGTCAGGGGTGGTCGGTACTATGACCGAAGGCGCTCTCCATCGCCGCACTACGGACAGAGTCACTCTCATAGTCCTGTCTATTATTCTCCTCCCCCCAGGAGAAGACATTATTCAAGGTCTGCTGGCACTTCTCTTTATCAATTTACTATAATTAAGTTGGACCTTTTGTGTTTTCCTGTAAAGTGTGACAGGTTTGGAAAAGCAGTATGTTCTAATACATCGATTACCATCCAGATCAATTTCTCCTAGAGATAGGAGGTACAGGCACAGGTCCTACTCAAGGTCCCCACATAGTTCAACGAGCTACAGCAGGAGCCCAGTTAGGAGTTGGTCTCCTTATGGTTCAAGGAGCCGGAGCCCGGAGCACTCCAGGTGATTATTAATAACATTGTATGCAGTGAAGGCCTGCTGTGAGTTAATAGTGGAGATTAATGGTGTATTATCCTGAGCTGATTGTGGGTCAATTAGATAGTATAATGTTTAGCAGATGTGTCGTGTCAATTCAGTTGCACTGTTTACTGCTGATGGTTTATGAATATGAGATGTGGTATGCCAATGCTTTTATGATTTGTCTCTTCTTAAGTTTGCAGATGAATCATCAAAACATCGGGCATGATTCGTCAATAAACTTGCGAATATGTACCATCACATCTAATCATCTTAACGCAGGCATGCAAGATTATTAGATGTGGTAATGAACACAGGGTGGAACTACCAAGGTAATCAAAACATGATTATGAGTTCATTACATTAACTACTCCAGGTGAAAAGGTTATGGTTTGGCAGAACTAGCTTACAATTTCAAGGGAAATGGTCATGCATCGTATCAATTGTGGCAAGTTTGAATCTATATTAAGTTATTTTAGGGATCAAAGGACGGTTTTGTGGCACTTATACAAAGACTCTTTTAGGTGTAAAGGGATAGTTTTGAAATTATCAAAGATTTTTGTCGCATTTTGAATGACGTTCATATTTGACGGTAACTTACTGCAATTATCCAATCATTTCCCGGTATAAATTTAACCTACACTCTTGGAGGTGCTTCATGTGATAGAAGCACGTGTTGGTTGAAGAAAAATCAGAAGCACTGGAAAATGTTTAGTGTTGTAGCATCTCTCTAGTCAAATTAAAGTGTAGAACTAGTTGCAAGGTAACTGTGTTAGCCGTGGTTGGTGCCGATGCTAAAAACCGATCAATGCATGTTAGGAACTGTAAAAACAAGAGAACACCCATCAAAGTGGCTATTATTCCCGCAAAAAGTAAAATGGAGGTTCATATGGCGGTGGTCCAGCTGCCTCTTTACGTCAATCCTTTTCCATTTAGGGAAATCCAGGACGGGGCAGGGTGTGATACGAAATAAGGAGGGAGCTTGATGGCAATATTGTGAAAACCACCACACCTTGAATGTGGGTGAGATGCTATAATTATAATTACATAATATTGTTAAAGTAAATGATATCTCAACAATAATGGAAACTAATCTCCTAAAATCAAGTAAATGACTAATCAAGGGTCAATGGATCTTAAGTATGGGATGTTGTTGAAATGGGCGTGTGCAAGCTGAGTGTTGAATTTGAATGGACGTGAAGCTTGAAGTGAAAAAATTCGAATAGAGGCTGAGGAACACTTTAGGTGAAGATGTCGGCAACCTGAAGATGAAAAATATATCGAGGGTGAATTTTGCCAGCAAGAATAAGTTTGCGCAGAAAATAATAATCTAATTCAACATGCTCGGTGTGCTTATGGAAACCCGGTTGGAGCTCAAAGAAATTCCACTTTTGTTGTCACATAAAAGTAGAGGCGGTGTAGGAATGGAAACCCGAAGATCACATAGGAGATGAGTGAGCTCAAGTAGTTCGACAATGTGGGCAAGAGCACGATACTCTGATTCCCAGTGAGGCGGTGGATTGCTTTATAGCACTTCAAGAGACCAAATTGACACCAAGAAAAACAGAGTAGTTGAAAGTGAAATTACGTGTGCCCGGAAAACTGGCCCAATCAGCAATAAAATAGACAATGAGAGGAGCAAGATTAACAGAGCGGTGAAAAGTATGGCCAAAATAAAGAGTACCCTTGACATGACAAAGAATACGCTTAACCCCTTGGAAGTCATCTTCAGTGGAGGCATGTAGAAATTGGCTAACAGAGTTGACAGCGTGAGAAATATCAAGGCAAGTGATGGTGAAGAGCACCAACAAGAGACCTGTATAAACAAGAGACCTGTATAAAGTGGGATAAAAAAACAAATGACCATCAGTAGACAAATGTTGAGAGACAACCATGGGATTAGGAATTGGCTTGCTGTCAAACAATTGAGCTCGAGTAAGATTATCACTGGGCATATTTTAACTGACTAAGAAAAAGGCCATCGATAACCAGCGAGGCTTCAAGACCTAGAAAATAGCTGGGAGAACTGAGTTTTTGGGAGCAAACTCATAATGGAGTTTATGAGTAAAACAATTAAGAAGAGGTAAGTCATTTCCAGTAATAATAATATCATCAATATAGAAAAGTAAATAAATAATTGCAAAGTGCGTATGAAAAACAAACAGAGATGTGTTAGCATGGCTGCAAGTAAACTCAAGTTGAAGAAGAAAAGAACTGCAATGCTAAAACCAGGCACGAGGAGCCTACTTGAAACCATATAAAGCTTACTTCAATTGACAAACATGATCAGGGAAACGATGATCAATGTAGCTAGGAGATTGCTCCATATAGATATTTTCACTAAGAGTAGCATTAAGAGAAACATTTTTGACGTTAAATTGGTGAAGAGGCCACTAGTTAGTCACAACAACAGAAAAGGACAACACAAACAATAGTAGCCTTAGTAATAAGGCTAGAAGTATTAGTTTAGTCAAGACCAGGGATCTCAGTGTAATCCTTGGCAACAAGACGAGCCTCGAGTCTCTCGGTAGAGCCATTAGAAAGATATTTGGTTCGAAACACCCATTTGGAGCCCACAATGTTGGTGCTGGCAGGGCAAAGGACCAAAACCCAGGTGCGAGCGATTATGCTACAGATCTCGAACTTCTTCATTCACGGTGGCAAGCCAGGCAAGATTCTTAGCAGTAGATTTGAAGCCCTTAAGCTTAGCAGAGGCAAGAAATGTCGAAAGAAGGCCAGTGGAGCAGAAGGCACCAAGATTCGCGGGGTGGCGGGTCTTCAAAATACCAGCCTTAGCACGTGTGAGCATGGGATGAAAACTGATCAGATTGGATGTGATAGAAATAGGAGGGACCGTATGTGCCACAACAGGACCCGACAGTGCCATAGGAGAAAGTGGACCAGAGACCAAAGTAGGCGAAGAGGGACCTGGAACAGAACCAAAATCATATTTGAATTGTAAGGGATAAAGCCAACTAAAGCGAGAATAATTGTCAATGACGAGAACATCATACGTAAAGACAGAATTTGAGTTGACGGGGAAGGAACCCCAAATATCGTAATGAACACTGGAGAAGGACCTACGTTTATTACATGGATATGACAAGCGATGGTTTTTCACAAGTAGGAGCTGCATAAGTGAGGAGAAGCTTGTAAAGGGGTAAAAGATAAAGATGGCTTTTTTTTATTGGAAGAATAAATAACATAATTAATTACATGTCCAATGCGAGCATGCCATAAATCATAGGAAGCATGTTATTGTTTATTTTTGAGAACGGAAATAAAGGCCATGTTGCGACGTCCTAGCACATATCAAGTCGCCATCCATCTTACCGGTTGCTACCACCCTTCCTTCTTGTTTGACGATTCTGAATAAAAAAACGATTATTAATAAAACTAACAACCACTGGAAAATCAGATGTTAATTTACTAATGGGAAGTAAATCTTTGGTGAGGTGTATAAATGAAGTTTTGGAGTAAATAAAAGGCAACCTGTATGTGTGATAGTTAAAGATGCACCATTTCCCACAATTACAGAGTCCTTACCAACATATGGTATGGGTAGATCCAAAACAGAGGGAGCATTAGACATGTGAGCTTTAAGCTCTAGTGTCTAAAAACCAATCAGAGGTCGGAGGGTCATTGAGAGAACAAGACCCAGTGCTGAATGCTTCAGCAAGATGGGCAGCAGAGTCACCACGGTTGTAGCGCTGCGGGCACTGATCAGCGTAGTGACCTTCATCACGATTGATAGATTTGACTGCGAGGAAGACGACAAGGAGAGAAGTTAGTGCGGCCATTGCAGGCGGATTGGCCAGGGTTAAAGCGGGAAGGATTCCGCTGGTTTGGGCAGTTGGACACGCGGGGAATGGCTGTGAAGGCAGCAGAAGGAGGTGCTGTAGGCTTAAGGGACCTCTGAAAAATCTCAAAACTTTCAGCTTTGGAAACAAGATCAGCAAAAAATGGGCAAGTGAGTGAGTGTCATCTAGGTAGAGGAGAAACTGGAGAAATCGCACCGAGGCCACAGAGGAACCAGTGCACTTTGTTCGTGTCATCAACTGGACGACCAATGGCATGAAACTGATCATTCAGGCTTTTGAAGGCACGAGCAAAGTCAGTCACGGGTCTGGAACCTCTTTTCATTAACTGGAGTTCATCTTTGAAATGAATCTCAGGGGCCTTGCACCGATGATTGAAAGCGGTCTCTAAGGCAAGCCTGACCTCTCGTGTAGCAGAGAGGCCAACAATTTCAGCAGAAGAATCTTCAGTGAGAGAAGAGAAGAAGACAAAGGAGACGTTGGTCAGCAGCCCCCCACGCCAGGTATTTGTCATTTGGTGTCTGAAAAGCAGCCCCCCACGTCTTGGCTTTCAATGAGGGGAAGGATCTGACCATGCCATATAAGATAATTTGTGGAGGGTGATCATATGACCAAGAGTATTGAAAGGGAGAAGATTGGAAGAGCCTTCGATGGCGTGTGATCCTCAACAATTGATAGGGTATCGAAGATAAAAAATAAGAATTATTGGCAGTGCGTTGTAATGCGCGGAGGTCTGGAACTTGCATGGGAACTGGGTTTTCGTCGTGGTGCTAGAGGCGGTGCTTCATCCACTGCCCTTGACAGCTAGTTTAGAAAAGTCATGGGTCTCGCGAATATTTGGGGATCTTCTTTGTCTTTATAGAACCATCTATTGACTTGTTGAAAACAGCTCCTTCGTCTCCCTTCAATCTTAGAGCCAGGATTTTAGGAAGGATGATTTCATTCGACTAAGTTACTCCTTGTACAGGACACTATTCATTGGATTTTTTTCGTTTTTTTACCATTTCAATTTCATTTATCATTGTTTAGATATTAAATTTCATATTTATTTGTTATAAAATTATTCTAATTTAATAATTTGAATTATAAATATTTTTTTGTACTAAAATATTTTTTGATGGGGCTCGAAATATATCGCGGAGTATCAACAAAGATAAAAAAAAAAAAAAATTACGGATAAGCACAATAAAATGGATAAGCTCAATCAAGTTGGATGATGTGAAACCTTAAGGTTGATTTCGGTTGGCGTGATCTAATATAATAGAAAAAACATGTTTTTAAGAAATAAAGAAAAAGCGACAAAATTAAATCTTATTCAGGAAGTCCAGGGCACCTGTCCCTTTCATCTCCTGCTATCCCTTAGTTTTGGATCAATTAGACTTGTTTTTAGACTGGCTCTGTGTAGTTCAGTTACTTTCTGTATTTGCTTGGGCTTTTTTTTTATATAAAAAAAATGGTATAGGGCAGTGTAATTGTATAATATCATTAATAAAAAGAAGTCAAAATACACCCTAACACATTAAAATAACCCAAAAAAATAATGTAAAAAATCAAAATATTTGAAAACAAGAAAATAAAATAAAATAAAATAAAAGAGCATACACTGAGTCGAGTCAAGAAGATCAAACTAGCAATCAAAACTCACCATGCAAATAGTAAAGTTGCGAGGCACACACTTCTGTTTTTACTGTGTTTTTACAGGGATGCAAACGTGTAAAGGACTCATTTCCTCTGAACTCGATTTGACCTCTGTACCATTTCTGACACTATCTATATCTCCACACAGCAGCCGGATTGAACAAATCCACAAAATTCACCTGTCACATTTAACTTCTCCCATTTACCATTTTGTCCATCCACAAGAAAGAACCCTTGGGGCCCGCCTTCATGAGCTGATCCGGACACAAATGTCTTTTCACCTAGACTGACGACACTTGCCCCGACCTTCAACGCCGAATCAGACTCGGCCCAGCTGAACAGTTGCTCATCGATGCCCACTCCGAGAGAGGACCTTGGGCACTGGTTCGCTTTCCATGCGTCCTCAACTCGCTTCCACTTGCTCGCTCCGAGTTCAATCGACTCGGCGCTTCCCTCAAACCCGCCTTGATTGTCAGTTCTGTATCCACTCACGACCCAGAACTCGGACCCTATCACAACTCCCTCGCACTCGTCTCGCTCCTGACTCATCTGAGGTAACTCAGTCCACTCGTCCTGAATCACATCATACACCCAGGCTGTTTTCAACGCGTTCTTGTTCTCGTCATGCCCACCAGCGATTATAATCCGGCCGTTCAACTCACCTGCAGCAAAAAAGGAACGGTTTTCTGGCATGTCCTTGCCTCGCCTCCATTGACGGGTGGTGAACTCGTAAACAAAGACTTGACTCAAAGGCTCGTACTTCACTGGGTCCCATCCTCCCAAGAGGACGAGCTTGCCCTCCGAGCTTGTGACTTGGCAGAACAAAGGAAGCCCATCTGGGTATGCCGGAACCGGGTCGACCCGGTCCCACGACCCATTAACGGAGTCAAATATAGAAACTCCATATTTGGGGGGTCCAATCGGTTTGGGTTGGCTCGAACAGTTTTGGTCCGGGATAGCTTGGATTAAGCAAGCAGCTTTGTGGGTAAGCCCGTTCTGCTTTCTCTGATAGTAAAAATCTCTGCTTTGAAGAACCGGACGCCAGCGTTTGCAAACTTGGGATGCGACTCGGTGAGTAGTGTAGTGAAGGCGAAGGAGGCATTCGAGGGCTATTTCTTCAGGCAGACTTGGTATTAACTCGGTCATCTTTTTGAGAAAGTGAAGTGGTGTCTCTCTCTCCTAAGTTTCTCTCTTTTTTCAAGAAAGGCATGCGGACACTGATTCTCTGCTAGATATTTATAGAAGAAGTTAAAGTAAAACAAAATATGTCCATTCTCGGACATGATGGTTGATTAGACTACTAAACAATCTAATCTGTCCTTGTAAATTACTATGATAACAATGACAGCGTTTACAACTGGTGGTCTTCGTCTTGATCTTTGGTATTATTGGCTTTGACTATCTCTGTGTGCCATGCCCAATCGTCCACATTCCATGCACATATCGACTTATAAACTGAAACTATTGCTGTACGCTGTATGCGTTTGCCGAAGAGGCATTCTACTCTATCTATCCACCTGAGATTTGAATGGGAGACGTATCCATTGAATTTGAATCGTATTTGCCGGTCAAGTTGGCGCCAATCTCGAGCAAAAGCAATATCATTCCTCTTGAATTTTAAAATTTGACTAAATATCCATTACTGACTAACTGCCTCCAATGAATGATTTGTGTGTGATAGCGACGGTACATGAACCAGCTGAAATGTCGATATACATAATGAGATGGATTTAACTACTAATTAAAAGAAAATAAGAGGATTCAGATTTTACTGTACATTTGTACATTTATTTACTGGTCATTCTATCACAAATTATTAAGAATTACAATTATGATTTTTTTAATTTTTTATTTCACACAATTAAACTCTTTTAGGGTCAAATTAATATCCATTTTAAGAAAATGTGAAATAGATAAATAAAGAATCAAAATGAAAAACACAAAAAAATAAATGGAAGATTCTAATTTTATCTAGAAGATTTTGTTTAGTTTTCTATCACTTTTGGTACTAAATCTGATTTTTATTAATTTTCAATTATTTTTTTGAGGGAGAGAGCTCAATAAATTTCAACATGAAAATAGATCTTGTCATTAACATATTTTTTGAAAATCAAAATAATTAAAATTGATGTCAATGAATTCTATTAGGTAAGGGGAGTTTTATGATTGTTGTTATAAGTCTCATTATAGCCTAGAAACCATATATAAGTCGAGGATAATATATTTTTTAGATTTGATATGTTGGTTTTTTAGTGTTTTAAGTGTGTTTGTAAGATGTTTTTAGATTAAAATAGATTGAAAAACAGGTTTTTTAAATAAAAAAACTCATAGCCCTGATTTTCTATCCAATATTATGGTGGATGGAATTTGGGTTGTTGTCTACTACAACTGGTAAAGTATTATTTGCTTATGCAAGTACGCGGGCAAGCGCGCGCGCATATATATATAGAAAAGAAAAATAGATTATGTGTCTTTTTAAATAAAAGAAATTAACAACTTAGATATGCAGACTTTTCCTTAAAGGTTTACATGTCTGTGTTTTTTCTTTTAAAAGCTTAGGGCGCTAGACCATTGGGTTGTGCTATTAGGCTCCGTTTCTGCTTTTTTTTTTTAATATGTATATTTGAGATTATATATATATATAAACTCAATTAAGTCTATCATCTAAATCACAACTTCAAGGAGTTAAGTCACATTACCTAATCTATTTTGTTCTTATTTTATGTATTTTTTTTGTTCCTCAATTTAAAAAAAAAATCAATTTCTCCCTTTGTTATTGATGAAATATTTTATTATTTAACTTATAACTTAAAAAATATATAATTTCACTAAATTTCTCCTTTTGTTATTGATGAACTATTTTATTATTTAACTTATAACTTAAAAAAAATATAATTTCACTATTTGTTATCGATGATTTGTCTTTGCTATATCAGTCTCCTACGCTACGCTTGTCATTTGTTTTTTTTTCAAAAATGTTTAATGTAAAAACATTGACATGCATTTTATTGTCATAAAAATTTATTAAATAGAAAATAATCTTTGGGATAAAAAACTATTACATTTAATGACGTGCATGACTTACAACTCAAGTATAATTAGTTCACTTGAATTCACGTGATGTTTTGTTTTTAATTGAGTGGTGTTTTTTTACTAGTTTTGTCCTTGAATATTGAGTTAATTACAAATTTAGCTTTTTAGGGTTTTTTTTTTCAAGATTATCTCCACAAATTTTGCATGTCAACCTGGGTTGACCGAGGTACATCTAATGTGCTTTTCTCTTAATATAAATTTAGCTTTTTAGGGTTTTTGTTTTTCAAGATTATCTCCACAAATTTTGTATGTCAACCTGGGATGACCAAGGTACATCTAATGTGCTTTTCTCTTAATATTAGATAAAAATAGTTTTTACTTTATAGTTTATTTTTTTCTATTCATCGTTAAAATCTCTTCTTTTTCTTTTTCTGAGAAGTGCATTAACAATACTTGGACTTTTTTTTGCGCCTTAAAATAAATATTTACTTTGCCTGTCATGTCTTTTTTTCTTTTAAGAAAAAATGTTTCATGCAAAAAATAAAAATAAAAATAATAGACATTTTATTTTCATATAAATCTATTAAATAAAAAATAATCTATGGGATAAAAAACATATTGAATTCAATGGCGTGCATGACTTGCATCGTAAGTTTGGTTAGTTCATCTAAATTCATATGATGGTTTTTTTTTTAATTGAGTTTTGTTTTTTAGTAGATTCATCATTAAATATTGAGTTAATTAAAGACTTGGCTTTCTAGTTTGTTTGTTGTTTTCAAGATTCTCTTGATAAATTTTGCATCTCAACCTGGGTTGACCTAAGTAGATCTAATGTGTTTTTGTCTCAATATTAGATAAATATTATTCAATTTTTTTGCACTTCAAAAAAAAAATATTTACCCTAACACGCCACATACTAATAGGCTAGACATGTTAGGGTTATCTCGATCACACGTGCCAGGTCATGAGCTTCATATGTCAGCCCAGTTTTGCCTATGGTAATATTCTTTTTAAAATTTATTTTTTATTGTTGTTGTTGCCTCATTTTTTTAATCATATTATTAGATTAATAAAAATTTAACCTGGTTATCAAATTTCTTTTTCTTCTTTGAAAACATAATTGTCCCCCAAACTTTTTTTTCAATTAATTTTTTTATCCAACCCATGACATTGTGTGAGCCAAAAATCTAGTTTTACCTTATAAGGGTCTATATTAAATTTTATTTCTTACATTATAGCTTTGTTATTTTTTATTATTTAAACAAAGAATGTTAGTAGATAGAAAGAAAATCTTCAATAGGTTACCTAAAAATAAATAGAGGAAGAATCT